TGCTGCCACATCGGCAGAAAAAAACTACTATTTTGAGACAGACTCCGTACGGTCACCGGCCGGTGTTCGGTCGGTCGCCTGAAGATGTCCGGACGGAGTCCGTTCACGTCACCGAGCTCTGCTTCCGATGAGGAGAGCTCGGTGGCACCAAAAAAATCCACCGAGCTCTACCGATGCCGGACATCGGCCGGGCTATGTGACTAGGCCATAACACATGTATTCATGGAAGACCCAGTAACCCCTCATTGAAGAGCCCCTCAGGACCACTCCCAGTCAAACACCCTGAAGTACTTTAAGCAAACAAGCAAATTCAGTCTTGCCTGAAGTGGGAATCTGGGATCTATTGCATAATTGGTAAATGCGGAACCGCTGAGCTTTCTGGGTGGACTTGGGGACTATCTTTTTATCATCATTGTAGATTTTATTAAGGAGGGAAATATCAAAATAGTTTTGATTTTGGCATGCTGCTTCATAATATATACAATGGTATCATTGTTGGAATGGCTCCCTTCATTCTGACATCTCAGTTATTAATTCAGCAGAAAGGCTGCATGAGCCGGAGAGAAGCCTTTCATACAGATACAACTCCCATATCACTTCCCTAAACTACAGTATCCCCTGATCTAGGTATGACTCTAACTCATCATCCTAGCCACTACCACCTTGGTCTATTACCTTTTCCCTTCTTTTACCACCCCCATATCATTGTATGGACAAAATGTGTAGAGATCCTATTACAAAATTTCTGAGATTATTACCACTTTAAGTCATTGGGCACATTATCAAATATTATGTAAGTCCATTCCACTAGACAATATGCTATTGGATATGGATAAATAGATGGTAGCACGTGTGTTGGTAGGGTGAGAATACATGAAGACATATGGCAAAAATCATTTAATTTCTTGATTTATCAAGTATTTCCAGTTGGATTTATGTAAAGCACAGTTAAATATTGTTGGATTATAACTGTGAATAATCATGTTGACATGAGGATCGTGATTTGAAATCAAAACTGGGATCCATAAAGAAAAAATAAACTTTTAAATTTTTTCAACTTTGTGTCAATAGAGATTAGTTTTTTTTCTCGAAACAAAAGATGTTCTTCTTTCACAGGTTTTGCTGTATATAACCTGTATGTAATTTGTAACGAGGGCATCCACCTTGTAGTTGTTATCATAGAAAGCCTCAATAATTATATGATCAAGTTTGTATTGGTTATTATCCCTTGTAAAAAAGATGATCCAATAAATACCAATTTTAACCCAGTTCTCTTTAAAATCTCTTTAAAAAAGAACTGCATGACTTTCTGGGATTTCTATGGAATTCAGACTATTGACATCATGACGGTTTATTTTATTTCAAGCTAATCTAAATCAATTCTACTTTTCTTCCATTTAAAAACATGACCAATTTCCCTTTTTGAACTGAGATATAAATTCAACAGCTGCCTTTGATTAATTGTTTTGAAGGTCATCGTGACAATTAACTGACATTATTTCAAGGTCTACAACAAAAGTACACTCTTGTTTAACAAGAAATGATTAATTGGGCAATAGAATACAAATTCTGTGCAGTATTTCTTCAGCCGGTCTAGAGAATTCACTCTTTGAACAGACTTTCTCTCTAAAATTTGAATTAAGCACACATTTCTATTTTTATTACATGTAAGCCTAATGCCTATTATACTTTGCCTTATTCAGCTCTTTTCTACTATATTTGTCACTTGAATAAATATCAGCGGATTCTCTCAAGATTATAGGGTAAATATCATAGCAACCAAACAATAGGCCCCCTTCAATGTGAAACCTAGTATATATTACAGTTTCATTTTGTTCTGCTTTTGGCATATGATATATGATATACAGTGTATTAATTTGGAGCCTGCATAATGGTGTGGTTTCAGCAAAGCATTTGAGAATTGTTCACAAAAGAGCATACACCAAATGCTCCATGGTCTTTAGATCAAGGGCATTTTGCCAGAAATTCAAAATTAGGTGAAAAGATGTCACCAGCCCAAAAAGCCTTATAGGACATGCCAAAGCTATGAATTGTACAGAAACAAAGCTTATACATAGAATCCCTAAATGCCCCTATTATATCATCATGATAAACCATGACACCTCATTTCTTCTCAACCCTGAGATGATCATGATAAACCATGACACCTCATTTCTTCTCAGCCCTCAGGTGAAACAGAAAGATGCTATGAGTATCAGAATACTATTATACCAGTCCTATTATGTATTATTACATAAAGCCACTACAACTAATTGCAAGTGTCAACCCACTGTCCTCTGTGGAGAACCATGCATCTTTCATTAACTTGCAAAAATGAAAAGAAACAAGAAGTAAAGTAAAGCAAGACAATCTTTATTCTATTCTGTAGCTTCAATGTCTAATTTTGGTTAACCAAACAAGTAGTCATGGAGATAGTACATGTACATCAATTTAAGAAATGTCAGAAATTAGATATGGTGCAATAATCATAAAATATCATTGGCAACCACAATTTTGTACTAACGATGATTGCCAGCACAATGTAATTCAATTTATTGTACAGGACCCAGAATTTATCTGTACAATGGCTTTTGCAAGTTTGAAGGGAGTCCACTATACACTGTATGACTTTGTTATCTGACGGGGTTCCAGAGCAGATGTTTTACAAAATAAAAATTATTTTTATATAGTAAATTAAAAGTTTGAAAGCAGACAACAAAATTAGAATATCTGGCTCCTGGATTATCCAATATGTTGTTATGGCAGCTTGACTTTTATGAATTATGAGGTTATGATTAAATGAACAATTTCAACCTATATGTAGGGTTACTATAGCAACATCATACCTGAATGGAGTGAATTAATTTTGCATCAATTAGCACACTCATTATCATAATATTGAATCATCACAAATAAATGAGGACAGTCACCCTGGATAGACATAAGGCAACCTAGTTTTTGGTGATTGGTTTGATACTTCAGGTTTATAATTCAATTCAATTCAATTTAATTGTCATCTTCATTAGCTTGTAATTTGATTAAATTATTTACAAGATATTCAAAATGATGCATGGTCACAACGACATGCTCTCCATGACCACCACTCACCGCTCTTCTTGACCAACCCTCCCTCAATAAGAGACATAAAACCATTTTTATCCAAAACTCAAAACTTTAATTGTAAAAATGATAACAGTTGTTATATGAGTTGTTCTAATGACTCGATTTGTCTTTGCTATTCAGCAAATCATGATAAAGTGGAAAATTACTATTATAAACCTGCACATGGAAAAACATTCACAGAGAAAATGTTTACATAGAAACATTTATAAAGGAATATATTTCCTGTTAGAGTGTATGAAAATAGAGGACATAAAAACATCATTAAAATACTTGAGTTCTTATTTTATGAGCCACCCATTAAGATAATGCAACAAACAACCATATTTCTTTTGCTCGGTTCAAGACAATAATATGTGACTAACATGAAATATAGTAATCCAGCTTGAAGTCAACCCTCAAAATTGAAAGAAAGTCAACAAGTTACATTTATGTAATAACTTTTGGAAGAAATTGAATCGAATAACCATATATGGAATGACATTTTGAACGCAAGATGCAATAAAATTTATCATAATAAACATTCATGACTTAAATAACAATGCAATATACCGCATCACAGTGACCGTGACATCATAAAACGCAGTAATAATGTTAACTGCTGTTATATTTAGCTTAATTATATTGTCTAATATACATAGAGAAACAAGTGCTCAAATCAGCTGAGTATTGGTGGGCTGGTGAGGCCATGCGATGCCACAGTTGAGAGATCTCAGGCAAATAACATCCCTCACCGTAGCCAGGATTTGCCAAGGGGGGTTCAGTTTTCAAAAATTTCCAGGGGGGTTCACATTTGACAATATTGGCCCAAATATGACTAAACTCACTTGAGAAGTGCTCAAAATGGTGAAAAACTGCATGATTTCGAAAGAATTTTTGGCCAGGGGGAACCTGCGAACCCCCCCCCCCTTGGCTACGGGTCTGCTTACCATATAATTTCAGCATTTTGCAATACACCTATTGTTCCTTTGGACTTTTAGAGACTGAGGTTGATTCAGGATCATTCTTTTCATGATGGTAGCAAATAATCATGTGTTAATAATCAATGAATGCTTTTGAGATTGCCCATGTTATAAAATCACAAAAAAGGTGAAATATCTTTTCTTGTATTGGACCATCCTCCGATCACAGGGCATCAAAATCCAGAATATCATCTTTCTCTTCATCCCCAAGTCATTGATCACATGATTCAGTTTAAACAGGCACTTTCAAATTGGTTATAGCAGGGGGAAGAATGAGGTACAGATTCTGGACACCTGCTTAGGAGGATGGTATTGGAGACATGATACTTTCTTTTACTGGACATATTTTTAATTTGTATCACTATCAGATACATAAGGGTAATACGAAAATGAATGAAAATTCAAGTTTGAGGGAACTTTCTACTATATCTGCCATGTTATCTGAGCTGATTTAGCCACCTAGCGGTGAAACTGGTAACTGCCTACAGGCATTTGGGTTATTGAAGCAAAACATGTGACTACCCATCCCTCGTAAAACTGACTTGGCAAAAATGAGACATGAGGTTTCACCAATGAAAGTCACAGTCACCTATTTTCATTTTCTGCTGAAATTTCTTATTTCTCCTTTAAACAGTGTGGTATTTTTAATTTTTAATGTTAAAATAAAATGATTTATGTAGAGTTTTGCATTAAATGGGCAAAAACATCAAAGTTATTCAAAATAATGTGGCATTGAAATTGAGAAAATGCAGTTAAGGAGTCATTAAACTTGAACTGGGAATAAAGCAGAAGTTATATGTAAACATATTTTGAAATTCTCAAGTTGCTTTTAAAATAATACTCTCTCAAACAAACAAAAAAACAAAACACAACAACTTATTCAAACAATGTCAGACCTACAAAAACAAATAAAACTTGTTTTAAACTTCATATTTGATCAGTTTATTTTTTATCAAACCAAGCATTACAATATTACAATTGACAGTTGACACTACAGTACACATAATCTTGTGTGATGTCACTTTTAAAATATAATATCCATTAAAAACAAACAGCGCTCTTCGATATATAATTTCAATCTATAGTTTGCGGGCACAACCATCAGATTGCATGTTAGGTGTTAATTTTAGGCTAATAATGCAATGGTAATTTCAAGGATTGGTCTACATTTCACTCATTAACATGATCTATAGATAAAATGCAGATTTTCCAAGGTTTTTCATGTAATGTTGAATTACTCCATAGTTTAACCTATTTCAGTAAAGTACAATTAATCTAAAATTGAAATATATTTGTAGCTATGATTTCAAGTGCTGCCATCTTTTTAAAAGTACAACTTTGTGGAAAACTATCTTGTTTTTGAATGTTTGTGTTCGTAGTGCGTACATATTTCAGATACTTGACTTCATGTTGAATTCGTTTAATTTCTGGATTTTGTTAATTGATATAAATTTGTGACACACCAAGTCATAAATCAGACAGCATCGAGAACATTAACTGATTTGACCTACAAGGTAAAAAGTATAATGGTGGCCATCTTAGTTTCACACTAAATACTTGCTTAATTAGACCACCATTTAAATGGTATGCTAAAAATATTTTCATATTCAGATTGAAATGATTGTGTGTGGGATTTAGTGCAAAGCGTATAATATGGCACCTTACAGAGAGGTTTGCTGGTTGAACTGAATGAATCCTGAAAACAAAAGATTTTACTCCTTGTTTATACCTTAGCTAATAAACAATCAACACATAACAAACTTATAGCTAGGGCAAAGCAAAGTCCGCTTACGTGTGTGACAGATGTCAATCAACTTGGACGCCACTATCCTCTATTACAGATTCTGATTGGTCAGAAGCAGGTTGTAAGCTCGTTTCTGATTGGTCCGGCTGTTTTTCAGATGGTGAAACGGAGTTAGATTCAGAGTCTGATGGACCATTTACAATTACTCCTACTCCTGTTTTAACCTCTTCTGATTGGTTGTTCTCAGACACGCCTGTAGATTCTGAACTACCTGATTGGTCGATTTGATGATCTGGATTTTCTGATTGGGAGTCAGGTGGATCTCCATTTTGTGTTGTGACAGGACTGGCTCGGGAGTTGGGTGTATTAGGGGGTGTTTTAGTAGGCTGGATATCTCTCCCCAAAGTGTTGATATTGGCTTCAGTGTCACCATCTGTTGGATTAGTGTTTACAGAATCTTCCTCCACTGAAATATGAATAATATGATAATGATTACCTTAAATTATTTATTTTTCAATAATGTCCTCCTAGACAGAATCAGGACAAAGTGACAGCAGCTATCTTATCTTTCAAAATAAAATGGTAGATGGGAATTAACACTTTCAGAATGTTTTGGCTAAACCGCTTGGTTATGTCATTTTGGTTTGGAAATTGCTGCGGCATCAATCATATATTATAACTTCACCTCAAGCTTGATAATTACTCCAAAGTTTGAAATGGTTAATTAATGTCCATCATTTTGAAAAGGCAATGGCAATCAATATCTAGTGATACTGGCTAGTGAGTCTAAAACCCCAATTTGGTAAAATAAAAATAAACAGCAAAAAAAACAACATTTAAAATGTTCAACATTAGAGTCTGGAGTTTACCTTGAGAGCCATTGACAAGGGGTTCATTTTTGTTCCTCTCTGCTTGAAGAGCTCTACAAAGACTCTCTAGACGCCGTATCTTTGTGTTCAAAGTTGCAATTTCTTTATCTGATCTTGTTTTCTAAAAAATGATAATATATTTAGTAGCCTACATACTGACATATAACATGGATATTTTTGAGATATTTAATCTTGGGAGGTACTGGAGGTACAGTGAGATGCATTGAAGAAACATTGTATCAAATGTTCATTTGGAAAATCAGGGCAATGCAAGACCTAGTCTAATTTGACAATAGTGAACCTCAATAGGCAAAATGAATTACTGGATGCACAGATGGCTGAGGAAATACTCAAGGAAACTCAGTAAACTTTCTTCTTCTGTTATGTTAATCAATGCAAAGTTGGAACAAATACTTATGGGACTGACATACTTCCTCTGTCATGTTAATAATGCAAAGTTGAATTTATACATATGGGACTAACATACCTCCTCTGCCATGTTAATGAGGGCAGTGTTGGAACTTTCCCATCTATTCCTCCACATGTGAGTCTCCTTCTCCAATTTTCTGATTTTCTTTGTCATCTAGGATACATAAAAAAGTCATATTGTAATACATCCCAAAAGTAATCTAGAAATATACATCACTCTCCTTAATTTTCTGCAAGTTAAAATGCTGGAATCTGCAAGTGAAATTAGTGAATTCTGCTAGGGAAAAGGCCAATTCTTCAGCAATTTTGCAGGTACATACAGTCAATATCACATGCTGCCACCTATCGAAAACAAAACAAAAAAAACAACACAACCAATTTTTTTGTGTATGGGACATGGGTGAGTGATTTCTTCATTAAGGAATTGGAAGTAAGTATTAAATTACCCAGGTAAGGCTGATCATTCATACTTTAAGAAAATATGTCAATTCTGTGGGGAATTATCAAAATTTATGTTTCTGCATTTCCACACCTGAAGGCTAATTGCATCCTAGCTCTGCAAATATGGAATTCTAGGGGAGTAATACAATGAAATTATATTTCAAATCTATACAATGTAATGTATAGCAATGTGCAATACAAGTCAATAAAATGCAAATGTCATTTGCCATTTGCACCAAACACTGAAAGCCAACCACAAAAAGTTTTAGACTAACAATATGTCATCACTTGTGGTGACATAATTTTCAATGTTCAATATTACTTACTTTCTCCATTTCAGTCTTGAAGGAGGCGAAAACTTCGTTGCTTTTTGACAATGTTGTCTGAAACTCCTCATACTTTTCAGTGTACAGCGCCACCTGGAGGATGACAAATTTAATAAAAATTAATTAAAATAACTGTCCGAAAATATGTAAGGCAAATGAAATTTGGAGGCAAATTTGAGTTAAAGAGGAAATAATACTATAATGATACAATTTCAGTTTCAGTTTATATTGAAAATATATTTTTCTGTAAAGTATTGGTGAAGAACTGCCTAATGACTGGTTACACCCATGTATTACATAAGCTATATAAATGTATTAAATAGGCAAAATCAATGTATTACAAAGGTTATATAAATGTGTTACATAGGTTACATCCATGTATTGCAAAGACTATACCGATGTATTACAAAGGCTACACCATTTTTCTTATTGAAAGGCATATCTATCTAACCTGTGTCCTGAGCTGCTTCTCCTGAGCCTCTAGTAGAGCTATCTTGTTCTTGGCCTCATTTTGCTCGGCCAGTAACTACAAGCAAAAACACTAATGAGTTTATATGCAGCAATCTCTCCCCCACTAGAGTGACCCAACATTTTGAATTCAAAAATTACTCGACATGTTAAATTACGATTCGACACATGGTTTCGAATCTCACAGTTGAATGACTGATGACATCCTCCAAGCAGGTATCCAGAATCCGTACCTCCTTCCTCCTGCCATAACCAATTTGGAAGTGCCCGATTAAACTGAATCACGTGATCTAATTATGCGCAATGACTTATACATGATTTCTGTCGCAGTGTCGCGACAGCCAATCAGATTGCGAGTTCTTAATCGGGGAAATGTTAACTGCTTATCGCAGGGGGTAAAAAGAAAGAATATATTCTAGATTTTGAAGCCCTGTGATCAGAGGATGGACTGACGATAGCAATCAAAGGGGACATGCCATTAAGAGGCCATTCTCTGACTTAGTCATTTTTTTCAAAAGTGTGAAAATAAAAACATTCATGAAAAGTTCTTAAAATATTCTGAATAACAAGTTGAATATATATATTTAATGATGGCACAAGCAAAAGTCTGAAAATTAACATGAAATGAAGGGTTTTGACAGATGCAAAAGATGGTAGATTTGTGATGAAGAAATAGAGGTTTTTGCAGTGACAACACAATTACCTCGAAGTTATCCGTTATGAGAGGCTGAGGACTAAACTTGACATAATTTTCAATCTCAGAATATCAGTAGTATCTAACTTTAGCCGGACAGCCACTCAAAATGTATATGGAGCCCATAAGATTCATTTTTCTCAATTGAAGTCACTATTTCTGTTTTTAGCTTCAGAGGATAGGAGGTACATGAACATGCTAAGTTTACCTAGATCACAAGCCTTACCACAAATATAAAGTATATAGGAATAGAGTTGATATGTGTGAAAACCTTAAACTTCCCATTTTATTGGGGATGGAACTTGTGGACCATGTGTATTTCTAACTTCTTCACATCTGCATGGATCTAAAATTGTGGCAGCCATCTTGGATTTGTCATATATGTGGACATGGTTTTGGTTGTGCTGAATTTGTTTCAAAATAACATTTCTTGTATACCTTCGATAAGTGAGATAGGCATTTGAAATTAAATACAGATAGTATACTTGACATTTAATGCAGTAAACAGTAATACAATTCATTCATCTTACATAATAAGTGAGTCCAGACAAAAAGTTGTTATTGTGTTAGTTTAACTGGGCATAAATTACACTCATTGGCCTTGGTTTTCTTAACTGGCTTGGATAAAATGTTGTTCTGTTTATTCAGAAAAGGAGTATAGTTCAATATACAAGTTCACATTCGTTCCATCCTTGTAGAAATGAATCTCATATTATTTCATCTCAAATATAGAACACAAAAATATAATAAAAAACAAGTTTCTATTAATTGCAAAAGTTAGCTTCTATGTCATGACTGAGTTTGGGTTCCGCTTTTAGTGAAAAAATATCCATCTGGAAATATCGTATTGACCATTGCTATACACTCCATATTTAATCCTCCTAGTAAATAACATTGATATACAGTATACAAGTATATATGACATCGAGGATCTGGGGTTTGGGTAATGTGGGACATGAGGCCACTTGTCTTTTTGAATCTCATATTCAATATTCTTTCTTTAAACTCTCATATTTAATATTTTTGGAGTGGTAATTCAATTATGTACCTATTTTTTATTCTTTATCCCATAGTTGAACTCTGTTCCACTCTGTTAGGTAACATGAAAACATATTTGTGATATTTTGCAAATGCGTGGAAAAAGTGATATCTGTGGAATACGGAAAATATTTCACAGATATCACCTTTTGGCAGGGATGTGAAAACTACCACCAATATGATGTGTTTTGTTACATAGTGATTTCATGACATCACAGGGATGAATGGATGTTGTTTTGATATGCTTTGTTTAGTTTTAGAGGTCAACTATGGGAAAAATCGAACATCCTATGAATTTTCGTGATATTGTGTTAATCCAACTCATTCATATCAATATCTGCGCTAATTCGCTATGCTAACTTGGCAAGATCTTGATATCAACTCAGAGATAAAGATAAAATCATTTAAAATCATATAATATCCTATACATATCCTTTACTGTGCCACAACTTTCTCATATGTTATATATTTTGGCACAGGCCATCATTTATTTTCCTTGAATTCATGCTTTTGTTCCTCGTTTTAGAAATGAGAGGAAATCTTTGATTTTCCTTGTATTTAAGTTGCTTAAATGTTGCCCTGTGATGTTGACAAAAGTCAATAGTAATACATTACAGTCACAGTTGAAATGTACCCATTGCTAGCCCAGAACCTACCAAAATAGCATTTGCATTTTGTCAATATTGCCCTATGTGCTTTTCCATGAAAATAATTTTAATCGTATCTTTTCTTCAGTATTTCATATATTACATTTTAATATATTAAAATTGGTTAATATTTATATACTATTTACTTAGACAACAATAAATAAAGAATTTTTTGTAAAAACACCAAAAATGGTATATGATCTTTAAATGACTGTTGTGTGAACATCAAAGGTCAAAATTCGCTGAAATTGTATTTTTATAAAGCACAAATGATTTTTCTTCAATATGATATGCATTATTATCAGATATCTTTGGGGGCTAAAAAGGGCCCTTAATGACACCCGTCCTTTCCATTTTGGCAATGAACTTGGAAAAATAGTTTGTCTATTGGGCAATGGACTGAATGCCAATACGTTAAACTGGGCAATCATGTTTCCAAACTTAGACATAGAAACAGTTTCAATAGCAATAGGAAAAACTAGTTCCGTATTGGGCAATGGACTGAATGCCAATATGTTAAATTGGGCAATCATGTTTCCAAACTTACAAAAACTGTGACAATCCTACTGAAACTAGAATACCAAAAATATGAACCTAAACTCACAATTTCTTTCTCCACAGTATTTTTCTGTTTTTCCTCAGTCAGATGTAGTGTTGATTGCTGCAGCTTTGCCTCAACGAGTTGTGATTCAAGGTCTTTGTGCTTAATCACTTTTTCAATATGCTGAAACAAGAAGAATTACTTATCAACAAGAACAGGGCAGGGACATGGTGAACACTTTAAATATACTGTATTCGAACATGACTGTATTCATGCCTTCTATAAACTGTGAACAAAGTCAATGTTTCACCCGGGGCATATTCGAGATCAATGCCCTGGCTCTGTATTAAGTGTTTCGTTCAGTGCAAAAGCTCAACCAGAAGTAGAGGTGGAAATGCCCTGCGTGGTGTATTTGAAAATAGTAGCCCTGCTCTTAGGTCTATATTTCTTAAATGAGTCCTAGATTGTCATACCAAGAGACATCCCTGAAAATTTCAAATCTATTTTGCAGTTTGCCTGGAAATGTGCAGATGGGAAAGGTGACATTATCATACTTTTTAATTTTTAGTTAAAAAAATAAATAAAATGCTACATATCAGTCAAGAGATTGAAAATATGTCAATAATTGTCATTATTTGAGGTTCATAATATAGCATATTGAATGATATGGTTTGTAATCTTTTCCACAAAACAAAACAGAGATTTTACCTGTTCTCTTAGATCATATTGCTCAATCAGGTTCTTTAACTTAGATGCAAGGTCAATATTTTCCTCTCTTAGTTTGGAGTTCTTGGAGTGATGATCATTCATCTGAGATTGGATGTCAGTAATTGTGGTCTAAAACAAACATATTAAGAGTTACTGAAGCCTATGGCGGCTGAAGCTTCACTAATTCAATACAGAAATCTACATCGTATTGCTTATCCCTATTATTTTCCCAATTTTGGGAAGTTACAGCCACTGTATGGTTACCATAGATCAAATGTGACTTAGGCCTAAGATTCCTTACAGTCGACTCTATCTAATAACACCTTGTTGTTGAACATGTGTTTCATTCTAGAAGACCTAATTTTCAAAGTGAAGCATTTTTCCTTAATAGCCTTTAATGAAGTCAGAGTTCAGGAATTACTATTATCTTGTATGTTATCTGGAGAGAATATTTCAACATTTTTTAAATAGTTGTAATCAAAAATTCATTGCAATATACAGCAGTCTGCCTCCTTTAATCATTGTTAGTACAACTCTCTACAGTTTAATAAGGAGAACTTGTAACTTTCAATTTTTCAAAGCTTACCTGGAATTTAGCCGTGACTTCTTTCCTCTTTTCTTCTTCCTCTCTGGCCCGAGCCAAACTTTCCTCCTAAAATATTCCATTCAGTTATAACAAATAATTAAGGCCATTCTCATCACAATGTAAAAATGCTTAAGTGGTGAAGTTTAATTTTGAAGATTAATTTCTGTATATTAATATATATAATACATCCAAGTAGGGTACAACACATAGTTAATATGTGTACATTTAAAAATATGATGCATTTGATTTGACTCAGCTAAATAGGTCTCGAATAGATATATGGATACAAGACAAAGTACATAGTATCTGTTAATATAATATATAAAGTATTTAGTTATAAACAAGATGAAAGTGCTGAAGTTATTTATAGTTTATACCTTGACCAGCTTATTGTGCCTCTGCAACTCCCTACACAGACTTTCCAGCTTTGATTTAGCTAGAACTGCTTTACTATGCTCACTCTGCAGCTGTTCCTTCTCCCTCCCAAGGACCTGCATTAAAGGGACACAATTACATGTATATCATATATATACCACTTTACTATGCTCACTCTGCAGCTGTTCCTTCTCCCTCCCCAGGACCTGCATTAAAGGGACACAATTACACAATTACACATATTATATTATATACCACTTTACTATGCTCACTCTGCAGCTGTTCCTTCTCCCTCCCCAGGACCTGCATTAAAGGGACACAATTACACATATTATATTATATATATACCACTTTACTATGCTCAGTCTGCAGCTGTTCCTTCTCCCTCCCCAGGACCTGCATTAAAGGGACACAATAATACCTGGAACATTCCCCGTTCGCAATATCTGTTATCAATGTATTTGGCTCAATAACATGTGAATCCTTCATTTGATTATTCAACCGAATAAAGGGGCCTTTAATTGTCTTCTATTCTTTTAAAAGTGTGGCAAATTAGATTAAATTTTACAATACTCATATTCATCATACTATCAGTGATTTCCCCAGCATTAAAGCAAGTGGGCGCACTGAACCCACCTGAGATTTAAGAAACAAGCTTGCCCCAGTGATTTCATTAATGGCGTCCTTCAATGGAGAGGATGTAAATCAAGATTGGGTGGACGTAAATAAAAAATAATTACGTTTTTGGGACGCAATTTGAATTTCGTAAATCACTTCATGAATTCACTTAATAATTGAAAGAAATTCTATTTCTAAAAGAAATAAAATTTTCTTTTGAAGTTTCCTTCCCGAAGTTGATTTCTGATCGAAATAGTACGAGGCATGTGATAGGACAAATTGTTATCCAATACTCGATATCCAAGCAGTAATCCACCACAGTGATCAAATAGTGATGTTATTTTGATCGCATACTCGGGAATTGCTTTTAAATAAAAAATCCACGTGCGCTTGATCTATATTTTTTGTTAAACACTTTTCTTGGGAGAGCAGAATAGAAATACTTAAAATTATCAGAATTTTCGAATTTTTTCAATAGTGACACTAGGGGGACTCTACTGAATGTTTATTTAAATTTTAAGTTGCTATGGTATCAACTTTTTCCGTCATCTTTCTGTTAATAACCTTGAAACCATTGCGATTGCAAAGTTGTTGCGTCAAACAGACATGTTAAGGTTGGTCGCGGGAGATGTCGTTTTACACCATTGTTTCTGGACGGATTTTGAAAACAATTTCACGACAGTAATCAGTATGAATGTAAGTAATTCAATAATTAATTTCACATCCATACTTTTATTGTAAATTATGTTTTATCATGTCTAAATATTGAGGAATGAACTGCGCTTGGCTTCAGAAATCAACCTTTGACGACAGAACTGTTCAGTGTATAGAGTAAACTTTAGACAGACAATTCAATAACTTAATGTGAACGGATTTTTGAATAGTTTTCAGACTCATGATCAGATTAAAATGAAGATTTGGAGGTTTTTTATTTTTTAATTCTAAGATCTAAGTGTACTGAGCAGTGGGTGCATAAACATTACACATTCGGCAATGCTTTTTTCAAGTGAAATCAGACGACGCTTGCAGTAAATATCGTCCAACATTTGTGTTTACACAGTCGTATTTCAAAACTAAAGCAGTATTTTAAAAATATTAAACGATCCGATTGCGATTAAGAGTTCCTTGTTTTTGAATATATACATTCGAATTATATTCATTTATAAATAAATGAAAAAAAGTGGTCCCAAGGTGAAAATATGACTATGAAAAATCAAATGTCAATGTCAGATCGGACATTTTATAAAATGCAGCAAAATGTAGCAAACTGGAATATACATTACTTTTACAATCGCGCGGACGTATAAGTACAGCCGTGCACGTTCTCCAAATAAATGACGCGAGCTTTCTCCATTGAAGTTTAGTGGTTACATTATTATTAGATAGATATACTGCACCTGGAGGCATCATTTCGTACAGTGCGATCGTGATCAGCGCTCGTAGCGGTGATCCAAATTTTGTCATTTTTGATCACTGTGATCAGTACGAGTCTTACATTTGGCCGCTAGCTGAAGACCCGATTTAAACCATTTTCTATTGGTCAAGTGCGATCACAAGATCATTATTTAAGAATGCGCATGCGCAAGAAACTGAACCCAAAAATTGAACCTCGCGCAGATTGCCCCTAAACTAGAGCAAAATCAGTAGCTAATTGCTTCGAAATAAGCAAAGAAAATGTGTTTCTAATGGTTGAATATAAGTTATACCTCACAAGTGATGGTATCTGTATCATTTAATGACATACTAGACTCGCCAGAACACTGATTTAGACCAATAAATAGCAAAAGCGATACAAAATTTCATCAATTTTATTTCGGTTAGTGTAAAAGCGTGACTTTGAAAAATCATGAAAATTGGGCTTTTGACAGATTTCAGATTTAAATTGTGAAAATGCATATTTTGTACCCACTTGAGAAAAAATCCTGTGGAAATGTCAATTTTTCCCACTGATTCATTCAATGACATCATAATGCAACATCACCCTCAAACACTATAAATTGGCAAGTGACTAGTTAAGGACATGAGATTTAACTTACAGTTAGTTTGCGTTGGTTCTGCTTGAGTGTGCTCTGGGTAACTCTATGATCCTCAAGGAGGTCAGTATACTTCTTACAAAGAGCAGCTAACTTCTCTTCAGGGGAGGAAAGGCTGTTCAAGGCCTTCAGGATATGCTCTAGACAGAACAAAATATAAATGATTACCAAAGCCTCAGTCACATTTGCCCTATGGCGGCTGTAGCCTCACAAAATCCATATAAAAAATCTGTATAGTACTGCTTATCATTTTATTTCATGCTGCAATTTCTCTTGATTTTTGGAAGATACAGCCACCATATGGCCACAGTAGAGCAAATTTGATGGAGGCTTAAAGAGGAAGGTTGCTAGTGTTGTTAAGCAACTTATGTTGCACATTAGGACATTTATTTTTGTAGGGTTAATCCCAAGCAGAGGATGAAATGTCCAATGTCAAGGGGATGATGTTTACAAGTCACTCCCTTATCATTTGTGGGACTGACAAACAAACACCATATAAAATGGTCTACCAATAGAATATACAAAATAGGACGGTTGAGATGCAGCACTGATGCATGCAAGTCACAACTGTGCTGTTTAGAGTCCATTTCACTGCTTCATTTCGTCAGTAGAACGGCAAAAATAAGAAATTGGGAGACCATTGTGCAATAATATATGGAAAGTATATTCATAATGTACATGAATGACATTTGTATATCTTGGATTTCTTCTAGTTTGGCTTATAAAGTGTGTGGCCTCTTATATTTGGATGTTTCTCTGCCATGTTATTTTCAATAAGATTAACATGGCTGAAATTCTTCAAATTACAAGAGGGCACAGGCTTATTGCACAAAAAACTAAAAAATCTGAAATATACAAATGTCATTCATGTACATTATGAATATACTTTTCCATATATTATTGCACAATGGTCTCTCAATTTCTTATTTTTGCCGTTCTACTGACGAAATGAAGCAGTGAAATGGACTCTAGTCCTTTTGATAACAAGTTGACATTGCATTTAGATTAATTATACATTTCACTAACTTGAATTTAACTCTTCAACAGTTTTTAATTGCCAGTTTGTTTACTTAATGGTTAAGATAGGTGCAAATAGAGTTCAAATTACCTATTGTCTTATCTTCCTTTTTCTTGCGGGTTGAATCTTTTTGAACTTTCTTGGGTGACACAGCCTCCAGTTCCTGTAGAGCCAATTGAAGGTCTGCTGATGGACTGGGTTCCCTGCTAGATTCCTCAGTGGAGACATCTGGTGGAGAAGTACTTGCAGCTTCAGTGCTGCCATCTGGAATAAATGAAGGAATATCAATAAAAATATATCAAATGCTTCAAACCAAGCTTATTTCTTTTGTATCAGATGCTGGCACAATTTTGCCGGAAGTTTGCAACAAGCAATTTGGAAACACTGTGACTTACATTTCATGCGTTAGTGAACACTGAAAATGAACCAGCCTATTAGATTTCATCATGATACATTGTACAAAATTGAAATTGTATATATAAAATATGTAGAGTCCTATATTTTAATAATAAATGAATTACATTGTCAAGTAACAAGTGAAGATGTTTTATATGCATTGATTTGCTTTCTATCAATACAAGTTTTTAATTGTATGCTGCAAAATGATAGTCTTATAGTACCCCCTGAAATCCCAGGAATTGAAGTCCAATTCGGCCGTGAAAATTGTTTTTACCACTTTAAAGGCCATCACCTTATATTTTCTTACACCTACTAGGTTACTCTAACATACTGCATTGCCAAAAGTTACTTCTTGCAAACTTCCGGCAAAACTGTGCCAGCATCTGATACATTTGTTAAAGTGTTTGTTTGAAAGTTTTTATGGTAATCTGGTAGTGACATGAAACCCTTTGTTTGTCTTAATTACACATACATAATTTGAATTTTAAGTATAAATATGAGTATTTGAATTTTAAGTATATAAATATGAGTATGTAATTTGAATTTTAAGTATTTTAAGTATAAATATGAGTACGTAATTTGAATTTTAAATATAAATACGAGCATGTAATTTGAATTTTAAGTATGTGATTTGAACAAACTTCTATAAGTTACTAAAATTGACATATCATAATGTAGTATTGACGTAAAACTACCTTGCTGTTCTGGAGCTGGTTGTGCATTGATTTTACCACTCTCACAGGGTTCCTCTATCTGCACATTCTCCTCCTCAACACCCTCCACACCAACCTATCATAAGTACACAGAAAAGTAGTAAATATAATTTTGAACATCCACTATTTTTCAAGTTACAGCAAAAATTGTAAAATAGCATGGAAAGGCCACCTTTTTTCAAGATGGCTGCCATGTGTTTCTTCGATAGCTTTATTAATGTCCTACATAATATTTTTACATTTAAAACATATTGCGTTTTACAGTTTTACATATTGTACAATCAGATTCAAAGCCAGTTTTTAATTTCTTTTAGAATCACCAGAACTGCCATTTATGGAGTTCCTTTGGTTACATTAACATACTGAAAAAACAAATTTAATGACCTATCAAATAATTAATTTTGACGAAAATAATTTGACCGGTCAGCCGATCGCAAAATTAGCATATAAATCAGTGGATTCAGAGCTTCTTCATTGGTATTTAGATTTGTGAATATGCAATGCATTGTGGCTCATTCATATCACTTAGGCATGCTACTTATCTTATACAAAGTTTGAAACAACACCTAAGATAAATGTTAATAAGTCCACAATGCACTGAGTCAAGGGCTTAAATCCTTAAACCAATATTTTGAAATTATAAGGATTGCAATGGTACATGGTAGATTAAAAGTATTTTAATTGCCAGTATGCATGAGTGACAATAGATGTTCCTGCACAGTTATATACTTAAAGATACTCTATACACTTCCTGGTCATCAAAACCCCAAGTCAACTCAACCCAGTAAAACTCAACCCCAAGTCAAGTCAACCCCAGTAAAACTCAACACCTATATTTTTATTTATTGATAAATTTATATTCCACATACTATGAAAGTTTATTTCATAAAAAAAGTTTTTATAATTCTGAGTCAGTTTGTGATTTTCATTCTTAGACCTGCCTTTTTAGATAGTTAATAATGAGTTTGTCTCCAAAATGTCAACATTTTGTTGTAATCCCTCTGAGGTTGACACTCATGATTATTTGGAATACTAGAACATGACCATTGCTTTCAGTCCATCAATTAGTAAATGTTAATGATTTCAATAATGCATGTTCATATAAGTAATAAAAAGTAATATTACATTGTTAATTATTTCTAAATTATCTAAATTTTGATTTCAAAAGATGTGTTAAAGATGCATTATGCCATAGGCTTCTCCCCCAGACAATCAATGATGTCCTCTTGTTATTGCTCATATAATATCTCACATACCATGGATATATCTTGAGAATAACTTTTGGGTATATTATTGCCGAAATGACGGAAATAATCAACAGAACAACCAAACTCCAGAATTAAAGGGGGTGGCTGAGTATTTAAACTCAGAATCAGTAAGAAATGGAGTCATTAGTAAACCATTAAATTTGAAAATAACTGAAACTGCCTGCTCTGACAATTAATTTGCCTTTTCCTATAGAATTAATGATCAGATTGCAACATAATTTGTCACAGTCATGTATGAATATATCATCTTCATATTAATGTATTTAATTTAGTTTGAGTTATCTTGAAAACACATCTAATCTTCATTTTTTAAACTGGTAATGGGAGGAGTTAACAGTTCAAGCTTCAGCCAATTGGCATGCAGAACTTAGTCACATGATACAAATAAACAAAGACACATGGTTGAATGTAAATAAATATTTTCTACTTACCAAAGAGCTGTAGTATTTATTAATTCAATAATTAATCCAACAATCACAATGAGTATATGTTCTTTTACGCACTTTATTGATAAATATCATCCATGAGTCTATTCCATATGTTTGTTTTATATTGATATGTTGGCGCTGATAACTGTTTTTTGCCACTTTGTCTATTTGGGGCTGTAGCCTGCTCACGATTCCAAATACTCGTATACTCCCTGTCAACGTTTTCGTTCCAATGACATGTTGTGAGGTCCGTGCGTAACTCATACTGAATGTTCCCAAAAAATATACGTTTATCATGGAAGACATTGAGTACGTTATTGTAGCTTTCAACGTAAAATGTATCTAGTGCTTCGCGATAACTTTCTGCCATTTTGTAAACAATTGTTTTCTTAATGGCAGATTTCAAAAGTTCCTCTGCAACTGGACTTGTGATTTGAATATACTGGGAAATATATAGGGCTGCCATCGAACTCAAATGTCAGTGTCGACAGTCGAACTCTGCTGTCGAAAATATTGTCGACAATCGAACTTTCCAGGGAGAAAAAATCATCGGGAAAAAAAGAAAAATTATTTCTGTGTTGTTGGTTCGTTTTTTCCAAATCTATCGGGGAAAAGCTTCATATAACTTATATTCATATTGGTATGTAATTGCCTAATATTGTTACTAAATGCCAAGTTAATAGAATATTATAGACGAAAATGGGACAAATACCTGCAATGTTTCGACCGGGATTTATTTCGACTGCTCGGGCGAAATCTCGTACAACGTCTCGCAAGAGAGAAGAGAAGTCATGAAGGGAACTTCCGGGTGAATTTATTTTTTGAAAATGAAATGAATGTGAACAATATTTCCGCAGAATACGCGCACATAACACGTTGAAATGTGTATTGAAATGTATTGGGGCCATTTGGATATTTTCAAGTAAGTATTGATATCGTTTGCTGTCGACATGACGGGAATTTTTGTCGACTTCGTTGTCGAACTTGCATTTTGACTGACAAGTCGACGTTCCGACTAATGATGGCAGCCCTAGAAATATAGTTTGGATTTGTCCTACATGAAGAATCATCGTCACAATCTCTGTGGTTTCCCTTGTAGTGCTCTACAATATTCAACATTTTCCTTTTAAGTACATCTCCATTATTGTTACAATGTCGCATAATCCAGTGTGTTTGTCTTTTAATAGGGTCGACTTTGTCACTTAGTTCCTCATGCCAAGTTATTCCCTCCCTCATACGTGCTCCTTTGGCAACTGCTGCTACTTCTTTTTTCACGGATTTAACGCCGTGCCAAGTGTCATTTTGGTTGTTCACACCTCTTTCTCGGACATATTTGTTGATGGACTGATTAGAATCATGGGCATGTTTGTCTATTTTCAGATGTTTTTGATCAAAATATTGATAGAGTTTTTCAGTTCCAAATTTTTCATGCCTTTGGGGAATCGGATCATCATTTTTAGTTACATGTACTGTTTTTAGAACTTTGTGTGTTTCTAATCCAATACATACAACATCGCAGTCCTTTGCATTTTTCCTAGTCCCATGTCGCCCATCTGTCATAATAGAAATTCCATTTCGATCGCTATCCTTTGTTTTCTCCCTTTCTTCTAATAGCGCAGCCTCAAAACTCGAAATCGATTCTGCCTTTATATGTTTTGCAATATCTTCTGATATCATTTGCAACTTGTAGCCACTAAGTTGTCCAAAGTTGCCACCCATGCACAATGTTTCGTATTGTGATGGCAGCATTCCTGAACAGATGTACCCATGTACAAATCGTGTGTTCACCAGTGCATCTCCATTGGGAAGAGTTGGGGAAGATTTCCAATGGAATGCATGTCCTCTCTCACACTGAAAACGAATTATTCCTGCATGGCCTGCAAATGACTCACTGTCCCAGACCATTTCACGATTACAACGAAAATTGTGACAAGTCACCTGCTTAACAAGTTTTTCAACTGACACTTTGGTAGTAAAAAACATATCTTGTTGGGTTTCCTCACGCTTGGTAGCTGTATATTCAGGCACAACATTCACCGGTGTTGATTGTTCTTGACTTTGACCTTCTTCTGAAGACATTAGGTATGTGTCAAGTAGAGGTGTCAAGTATTAACCGGTTAACCGGTTAACCGCTGATAATGCCTTGACCGGTCTGAGTTTTTATGGGCGGTTAGTTGACCGTGTATAATTCTGTTATTTTCCGCGCTTATTTTGCATGCTAATCCGATTGGTTTTATGGTGTCAGTTTCACGTAAGCTACTCATACATGTCATAAGTCCCATAACTCCTTACAAACATCCAATCAGCAACTTTAATCCATGCCACATTGCTTTCCCGCCCTTACTTTGCATTTTAATCTGTTTGTTTTTCAAGCGTAAGTTTCATGTGAGCTACTCATACATGTGATAGGTCCGATAATTCCTTACAAACATCCAATCAGCAATTTTAATCCCTGCCACATTCCTTTCCCGCGCTTACGTACATAGAATAACGTAAAGCTTGACGAACATAAAAAATAAACGCCGATATATCATTTTCCAATTTTTTTCAACTTTCAAGATCGAAGATGAAGATTTAATTTGAAATTATCAGTTCAAATTTCCCGCCGGTTAACCGAATTTAACCGGTAAAAACCCCCGGTTAACCGGTTAATGCTCAAGCGGTTAATTGACACCACTAGTGTCAAGTGCCTTCTCTATTGCATCTGTATTAGTTGCTAAACTGAATCTGCTGAGTCTGCGTTTTACTTCACCAAGCTTGTTATAAAGCCTCTGCTTAATGGAATCATCTCCTGGAAGTTCAACTTTGAATGATGCTGATTTCCTTCTAACTTTTTTATTTGCTGATGGTTGAGACATGATGTAGTTGCTTAGAGAACTGACATATGAAAGTGAAGGGAGGGAGATACATTCAGTCATAAGTGATTTACCATTTGAACATTATAAAGGATGGCTCAAATTTTCTCACTGAAAGTTGGTGTACATGTTCAAGTCATGTACTTTATGAGTGATATAGGTTAGAAACCAGAACATCCTGGACTGGGGTGTCTCCCTGAATAATGTCTTTCAACAACCCCACAGTATTACTCAACCTCTCCTGATGTAGAACATTTGTCATGGCTCTGGTTGTCCTTGTTTGCTTTCATTTCCTTGGATGAAAGGGACATTAAAATCTCCAGACATACTCTTGATTTGGGGATTGTGGGAAACTTGTCAGGATTTCAAGAATTCTGAAGAATTGGCTCATACCATGATCAATAATTAATTAGGCAAATTTATGAGAAGTTCCCCATAAACTTCCACTGAACTTCTAAACCTGCTTCAACTCCTGTTTTCAAGAAGATCCCAATAATGTAGATATTCAAAACAACTTGTAGTCAG